CGATTAAGGGTACTTCTAACGTGGCCCATTTTCAAAATATCGCCAATTTGGTCGACACACTTTCGCCTAGGACGTCCCTTTCCGACTCTTCCATTCAATTCTGCAACATATATTTGCTTTGTCAGTCTTTCCTCGTTCATTCTTTCTACATGACCAAACCACCGAAGCATTCCTTTCTTAATCCTGGTTACCGAATCATCTTGCAAACCACACTCTTCTTTTATCACACAGTTTCTCACCCTGTCACTCAGATTCAGCCCTAACATACTCATTAGCGACCGCATTTCTACTGCATTTATTCTACTCTCGTGCTTCTTCTGCCACACCCAGCTTTCACTACCATACATTAAAGTAGAGACTAACACACAATTATGAATTACCATACGTGCCTTTTTTGACACAATCTGGTTCTTCATAATAGAGTGTAGTGCCCCATTCACTCTATTCCCTGCATTTACTCGTCGTTCTATATCCTTACAATAATGCAAACAAATAAAATATCAAAAATTAAAAATATAATTACAATTATTAAAAATGGAACGATCAGTTTATTCTTTTTTAAGTAATAAATAGACGGTTATTGGAAGAGTTGTCTATAAACGGTTATCAAATATACATTAACGTAAATAATGAAAATTGATACTAGCAATAGAAATAGAAATAGAAACTTTTTTATTCAATGTAGATTATAACAATACTTATTGAAAGTCACTTTTTTAAATTACCACTGGTTCGCAAAAAAAACCTCTGTCCTGGGAAGAACCAGCAAGAAACCCAGCGGGACTTTTTTTCTAATAATAGCTTACAATCATGTTTACAATTAACAACACAAGACAAATTAGAAATAGCTTGGTAGCGATCACCCTTCCCGGGGGTTATTATCATCCATAAATTCCTTAATATTATAATAACCCTTTTTATATGAACTTAGTTCAATAAAATTTTTGAACTTTGTGTATTACAAATTTTGTATATTTTCTGGGATTTTATTGTAAAAGCGTATACATCGCCCCAAGAATGAATTACTGACTCGGTGGAGTCGAGTAACTGGTACTACTAGCTTGTGTCTGCTACTAGTATTTACAGAATAAATATCACTTATTTTCGCAAAACTACTTTTATTTTGGTGCACGTACATTACATTTTCATAAATGTATTGAGAGACCAGATTTAATATATTAATTTCCTAAAATTTTTGTCTCAGTGACTGCTTTGGTTTTTAATTATATATTGATCTAATGGCCCTCTTCTGTAAAATAAATATAATTTCAGTGTCAGTCGCGTGTCCCCATATCAAAATACCGTACGACAAAATACTATGGAAATAACTAAAGTAAACTATTCTAGCTGTTTCAACACTGGTAAGAGATCTAATCTTTTTTACAGCATATGCTGCAGAACTAAGTCTGCTAGCTAGTTTTGATATATGGGGGAGCCATTGAAGCTTTGCGTCCAGTGTGATTCCAAGAAAAATAGTGGTATCAACAAGACACAGTTCCTCCCCATTTAAAATTACATTAGTATTGACATGTTTAACATTAGGAGTTACGAATTTCATACATTTAGTTTTAGTTCCATTCAAATGCAAATTATTAACATTAAACCAATTGACTAACTTAGCTATAGAATTATTTACTTCGTCGTAATTTAATAACTGTCGTTTTAATTTGAAAATTAATGAAGTATCATCAGCAAATAATACTAGATCACGGTTATCCCCCACTATGTAAGGTAAGTCATTAATATATACAAGAAACAGAAAGGGGCCGAGAATTGAGCCCTGAGACACGCCCATTTGTATAATCGACCCAGAAGAACTCATACTATTAATGACAACTTTTTGTGTTCTGTCACTTAAATATGAAATAATTAATTTAAGAGCATCGCTTCTTACACCGTAATGTTGAAGTCCCCTGATTAATGTTTCATGGTGAACACAATCGACGGCTTTGGATAGGTCACAGAACACACCCAAAGCATCCTGTGAATTCTCCCATGCATTAAATATATATATAATCAGCTCAACACCAGCATCAGTTGTCGAGCGACCCCTTGTGAAACCAAATTGATTTTTATGAAGTAAATTATTCACATTAAAAAAATTACAATTGATCAAGAATAATTTTTTCAAAAATTTTACTAAGTGTTTGCAGTATAGAAATAGGTCTAAAATTACCGGGGTTCAATGTACTACCAGAATGAATATAACATGTTAGTTCTTCTACTTGGCATACAGTCGTAGTTTTTATATTTTATGTGAACACACAGATAGACTCGCATACACGACTTAAGTGATTTACTTGGACTTAAAAGAAACCTAAATTTGACTTATTTAGTCAAATTGTCCAAATCTTGCATCAATTTACAAAACAGTTAATTCTACAAGCTTCCGAAAGTTATTACAAAGAATTTATATAAGGCACATTCAAATTACAAAATACAGTGACATCACCGGACAGATAGCAGCCGGCGGAAGTCGCTCAACTTGGTATAACTGACAGGAAATCGGTCAAACCCTTTGAGTATTCAAGAGACGTCTCTTTCGCCCTTCACCTTACAATGTCCGCAGAGGACTACGACCCTAACGATTGATTATTTGCATACAAATTTAAAGAAAAGACCATAGAGGTGACATGCCACTGCATCGTAGCACATAACCTGATATCGATTGCTATATTTAAAAGACTATATGAACAGTATATTTACGTACATACGTATATCACGTCTGTGAACCCGAGGCGGAAGGCACAATCCAAAGAGTAGAGAATAACTCGAACCACATTAAACCAAAAAAATATGTAGACCAATAAACATAAACACTCACGCCTGTCACCCAGAGGGGTAGGCAGAGACTACAGACTTCCATTTAGCACGATCCTGACATACCTCTCTCGCCTCTTCCACATCCATATACCTACGCAAACACGCTCGTCAGTTAAGGGTACTCTTAATTAGGTCCATTTTTAATATATCGCCAATTTGGTCGACATACTTTCGCCTAGGACGTCCCTTTCCGACTCTTCCATTCAATTCTGCAACATATATTTGCTTTTTCAGTCTTTCCTCATTCATTCTTTCTACATGACTAAACCACCGAAGCATTCCTTTCTTAATCCTGGTTACCAAATCATCTTGCAAACCACACTCTACTTTCACTACCATACGTTAAAGTAGGGACTAATACAGCATTGTGAATTGCCATGTGTGCCTTTTTGACACATTCTGACTTTTCACAATAGAGTGTAGAGCCCCATTTACTTTATTTCCTGCATTCACTCGTCGTTCAATATCCTTATCATATCTCCCATCCCTGCTGAATACACATCCCAAATATATAAATTCATCTATTTGCTCGAGCATCTCATCACGTAGAAAAATATTATATAAGAGAATTACAAAAATATACTATATATTTTAATTTACCCGCTTAGAACAAGTGTATTAACAATTAAGTAGTGTCCGGGTAGTATGTCCCGACAACCACATCAAAGTTTGCTACACGATTAGCTTTGTCTTTGTACAAACATTACTACTATTTACTACTTTTGAATCAAATTGTGAACTGCAAGACTTCAAGATACTATAAGTTCATACTGCATAGATCGGAACAAAAATTAATAATTTTAATCTGGAGGTAATCGTGGTTAAGGAATTCTTGTTGAATGTATAAACTATCGAATAAAATTATTTTTAATTGCTAGAAATGGCAATAAAATTCATAAATTACCCTTTATATCATAGTAGTAGTATATACTTCACTTTTAGTGCCAAAATTACTACTAATTTGAATTCTACACTTTTGTTTTTGGAGAAATTTATATTAAAATGTTTGGAAATATGTATATTTTTATGTTTTATGTGTTTCTATTCGTTACTCATACCAAAATATTAAAAAAGAATAAAAAAATAATAATATTTATCTGTATGACATTTCGAACAATATTTCAAATATATTTTTGTGTGAATTTGAAATAAATACAACGTCAAGTTATTTGAAATATGTTATAAAACTATTTTTTAGTTACATTTTACACTAAAAATAAATGAGAATTGAAAAATAACACATTTTTGACCCAACCGCTAAAATCGGCCTTCTCGATTTCGAAGTACTTTTGGCACTTACTTTTCACTTTTTATGCCACAAATTATATATCTACGTGTTTACTATATTACAAGGAAAACAAAAAAGTATAATACTTTCGTTTTTAGTCCAGACACAAATATAAAATTCTATAAAAAAAAGACGGAGCACCTTCTGCAATGCGACACATGGAACGCCGAAAGTGTCAGAGTGATTTTTTTTCTTCTAAGAAACATTGCCAGGTTATGGTTTAAAATAAAAGAGCATATCTTTGTCTTTTACTCTATTATTCATTGCATATTGCGTACGCGATAAAATACGTAAAAAACTTAGTTTTATTAAAATTTGTAGTGTTCATTAGGATAAAAATATACAAAAGGAGATGTTTGATTTTGGGCTACCACTATGTACACTACATAGATAAATAGGAAAAAAATTGAGTAATTTCATAAAAATACTTACAAATTAATTTGAAGAAGGGTACAGGCGTACAAAATGATCATTTGAAAAGTTTTTTTATAGGATAACCCTATTTCGAGGGCAGCCATGACAGTTGTGTTTTATGACGTTTGACGACTTTGACAGTTTTAAGAAGTGACGTCTTTGAGTATTGCTTTGCTTTGGGTTTGAATTGGATGTGTTTCGGAGTTTTTAGTGATTGTTTTTGTTTTACGACCCAGTTTACTATTACGGACATTGATTTGATTGCTTCTCTGTTGACCCCGGCTTTGTTATATGGTTTCTGATTCACCTGTGATTTGGATTCCGTCGTGTTATTTTACAATAACAAGTTCAGTTTCAGGTGTCCGCTACCCGTGCATTTACTTGTTTTGTTCAAATGCTATTTCTATGTGATGATTTCTTCCTTTGTTCCATATTCTAATAGATTTTAACTCATACTTATTTCAGTTTATTGACAATGGCATGCCTCCAGTGCACTTCTGTAATAGATGAAAATGAACAATATTATGCTACCGATGATATGGGTCCTGAAATAATTTCGGTCATCGAGCGGTATCTTGGCCATCTGGTAAAAAACATTTTATTTATCTATTTACTGTAACATATTTTTAAACACTGTATAACCTCTTTTTTGTTTTGTTTTGTTTTAGGTTGATGGAAATGAAGTGATGTGCTCACAATGCTTTGGCATCATAATGCAAGAGGTATCTAATGGTCTGGCACATGGAGATCACGAACTCCAACATTGCCATGATAGCAATGTTTGTGTTAGGTGTAGGACATCTTTGTTTAAGAGGCGTGCACACTCTATTCCCGAGGGTGCCGAAAGGCAATATATTGCTGAAACAATTGCTCCAAGAGAGGTAAGCACCTCTTTTGTTTTCTTTTTTATTCATACAGGCAGTCAAATGCAGATGTTCCTTAATTATGGTCTAAGACAATATTATTGCAGGAAGAAACAGAACAGTCACAATTTAATTTTTGGAAATGTGTGTAGATATGTAACTTATAACATCACCTTGGTTGAGTCTGTGAAGGTGATGTTAAAATAACTAAATCTTGATTTATTAAAATGATTTAGAAATGTTGTGATTTAAATTATTTAGAAATGTTTTGATTTAAATTAATAAATATTAATTTCATATTTTTTGTTTTAGATACCCGAGGGTGGTTTAATATGTTTTGCTTGTTGGGTACATACTCGGCGTACAATACAACAACAAGGAATCATAGCAGCTCCTGCTGTTATGAATATGAATGCATGTGTATGGTGCCGACGGTCTCTTGCCCAAACACGCAGCCACTCCATACCTGAAGGACCTGAACGGACCATAATAACACAAACGATATATCCAAGAGAGGTAACATTAACAACTTACTTAATTACCTACTGTTGGAATTAAATAATTGGGTTAATAGTCAATACATATTGTTTTCTTTTGTTTAATTCAGATTCCACCAGGAGGACTGGTTTGCTATGCTTGTTGGGTAGCAGCACGTAGAAATGTGGAGCATGCTACAAGGGTTGAGGATAACCGGCAAGGCCCATCTAATCTTCACCAAGACTCTATGTGTGCATGGTGTAGAATGTCGCTACACCGAAGGCGAACACATGTGGCTAGTGGTCCTGTGAGAGATGAAGTTGCAGCAAGAATTTACCCCAATGAGGTAAAATTATTTTAATTTACTAAACCACCATACACAAGTAATGTAACTTTGCATTTAACTGTAAGTAACCCTTTCTGTTGCTCCTGTAAGTAAATTGTTTCTTGTATTGTTTCAGTTACCAGAACATGCGCTACTTTGTTCCAACTGCTGGACACGTGCACACGAAAATATAGAAATGGAGCAAGAAGTTGTGCAATTTGATATCCAGCCACCAAGTGCATCAATAACACTTGATGGTTTTACACACACAACACAGACAAGTACTCATTGTTTTGTGCCGGCCTGTAACAATGTAGAACGAAATAGAGTGCCGGAATACTTAAGAAGAATTATATTAAAATCGGAAAAAATATTTGTGACAGAAAATGCAAGAGTATGTAATGAACATAAATGTTTATACAACTGGGAGTTTCTGGACCAGCATCAGTTCTCAAATACATTTACAAAAAATGAAATAGAGTCAATGCTGAAGCTGAGTATCCAGGACAATGAAATAAATCAACTAGATTTTAATAATATGAGTAGTATTGATGAGGGACTCTTTAAGTTCTGGACTGGAATTACAAAAGACAATTTTATAAATATTTTAAATGTAATAAGCCCAGCATTGACTTGCAAAAACCAAAAAATTGCTTTGGGAATCTATTTGGTGAAAGCTCGTACAGGGGACTCCCATGAAAGGATTGCCTCTCTGTTTCATCTGACCAAGTCCTCAATAACACGATTGCTTAGAGTAGCTAAAGAGGCATTGCTAAGGTTATTTGTGCCTCTCCACTTAGGAATCAATCATACAAGAAATGATTTAATAAATAGGAATTTATTAATACCCGAGGGTTTGTTTGGAAACAGAGAGGCAAGAGTACCAATAATAATATTTGATGGTACCTATATATACCTTCAAAAATCATCCAACTATATGTTCCAAAAAAAAACTTATAGCTTGCACAAATATAGAAACCTTGTTAAACCTTTTCTCATTGTTGCCACTGATGGTTATATTATTGATATTTTGGGGCCCTATCCAGCAACCAAATCAGATGCTGACATCATGAAAGCTTTGTTCCAAAATGAAAATGAGGGTCTAAGGGCTTTTTTTCAGCCCAATGATGTTTTCATTTTGGATCGAGGCTTTCGTGATTCCATTCCAATGCTAGAGGGGTTGGGCTTCAAAGTATTTAAACCGGAGTCATTAGAACAAGGAGAGACTCAGTTATCAACCATCAGTGCAAACAAGACAAGATGTGTGACACTATGCAGATGGGTGGTAGAAGTAGTTAATGGCCGATTTAAAAGAGACTTTAAGCTATTGAGACACGAATATTTTAATTTGGCTGCCACCCATTTGATGGACGATGTTCGTATTTGTGCAGCTATAATTAATGCATTCCATCCAGTGATTGAAAATAGACCAGATGCTGATGCTATACTTACTCGAGCAATACAGAGAAAAAATATGCCCAACCGGTTAGCAGAACTTATAATTGCTAACCGGATCAACCGCTTTAGAGCCCAATTCACAAGAATTGATGGTCAACTTCCAGAGTTAAGTATTTTCCCTGAAATGACTATGTCTGACTTGATACTTTTTGGGCTGGGTACCTATCAAATAAAACAGGCTAGAAGCTATTTCGGGGAACATATTAGGCAGCATGGATCATTTCAGGTAGAAGTATCTGACCAACTGGAAGTAGTAGCAGAAGCAACCCCATCCCAACTTGATCCTCTTTTAATCAGAGGCCGTATAAAATCTCGACATAGCTCAGGACGAACATATTATACATATATTTTGCTGTCAAAGGAAGGATCAAGTTGGGATGATAAAATAATTAGCTATTATTGTAGTTGTATCTCCGGACAACGAACAGTGGGTTGCTGTGCTCACATTATGACCATTGTGTGGTATTTGGGTTGGGCTCGGTACCAAGAGAGCATAGAAGCACCGGCGTCATTCCTGGATGGAATATTAATAATGGATGATGTAGAAAATTAATAAAATTAAAAGTCTCAACAAGTTGTTTTATTTGTATACCTCATGACTTATTTCTCATGCTATTAATGTCTCTAATACTAGGAATCATATAACATAGAACTTGTTTGAAAAATTGTTAGTGTTTAATTGGGCACTGGGCCCGCATGTTGGATTACAGTCCACTCTCACAGAAAGTAGTTATATGTCTCAGCGGTAGAAACATTATAGGCTGATTATGCTGCTGCTACCTAATTGGATAAGAATAGTTGATTTCTTCCCATCTGTTACTGTGTAATAGGTATAGTTATCTACTTTAACTATAACTTGCAGTCATCAGGTACTGTACAGCTAACTGCTCTCCTATGAATTATTGAAGTACAGAGTATATTTATAGGCACTAAAGTAAAAAACTAAACGAAGCAGCAGGAAAGTGTTGTAAATAAAATAACGTTCAAGCCTTTGTTTCGTTTCTTGCTCCTCTTGACACCGATATAACCAATCTGTAACTACTCGAATAAGTGATATAAAATGTGGTGCCGCAATCGAGAAGAATATCCTGTAGTCTTATTTTATCGAAATCCCAGATTTTTGAAATTCGTGTTGTTTTTTTTTATTGCAGATATTACGAATTACTATACACGTCAATCAAATGTCACTGTCAATATGACATTTTTCGCGTACTGCTGTTCCGATCCACCTGGATCCACCATGTTTAATTTTATGTTGTGTTGCTCTCCTTGACCAAGTTAATTTGAATGTACAATGAAACGCAGTGAAATTAAAGAAAACTAACAATAAAAAACGGTTACTATATTATACAGCAATATTCACATATAGTGTACATAGTGCTGGCCCAGGCTCCATACATTTATGGAACATCTCCTTTGACCTGCCAACACGCATTGGGGCAGCGCGGCGGACAAATCCTTGCTCTAAAACCCTCTCAGAAATGAGCGGAGGCCTGTGCCCAACAGTGGGACGTATATAGGCTGTATCTTTAAAGTTCAAAAACTTTAATAAACTAAGTTTGTATAAAAGTAGCTATTACAATATTAAGAATTTATTGATAATAATAACCACTGGGAATGAGGTGATCGCCAGCAAGCTATTTCTAATTTGACCTGTCTTGTTAATTGTGTCGTACATAATTCGAAGCTTTATTTTTTTTAAATTCCCGCTTGGTTTTTATCCGAACCAGTGGTAATTAAACAAAAGAGTATTATAGGTTTCAATAAGTACTTAATATAATAATACTAATACTTTCAATAAGTATTATTTATACTCTATATTGAATAAAAAAGTTCCTGTTACTGTTTCTGATGTGAGCAGCAACATGATGCTGATAAGAACTCAAAATAGTAAAAACCTGCGGTACCTAGCCAAGCCGCCTGCCAAGCGAGGGAACTATCGCAAAATATCCCTTATGAGGATATCTATGTTGGAGGCCTATATTCAGCAGTGGTCTTTTATAAACTGTAATAGACGGATGGGTGTAGGATTGGGCTCGATTGTAGCTCGCCTATAGTGAAATTGTGACAAGCGCTTAGCCCCTAAGCTTGATGTCAGTATGCCTAGCCATCTCATCTCATCATCATCACAACAAATCTCTCAATCATCATTATTACAACCCTTCACAAGTCTACTGCTAAACATAGACCTCCCCCAAGGAATGCCACAAAACACGGTCTTGCGCCACCTGTATCTGTTAACTTTCTGCATGTCTTGCCAGGTCGTCACACCATCTAGTAGAGGGTCCTACCGCCCTACACTTCGGCAAGGCTGCCTACTCAAGAAACTTTTTTCGCCATCGGTTGTCTGTTCTTCGAGCTATATGGCTTGGGGCCAAATCTATATACTGGATAATTTTTTACCGTCTGATATTTTACAATTTTATTTATTTTACATTAACATATTATAAAATTGATCCATCAATAAATACTACTAATTGGCTACGTATTATTTTAATTTGGATAGTTTTTAATTGTAAATCTATTTAGTTAAAATTTTTGTTGTTAATTTAAAGGTCCCGAAGTTTATTTCAAATTAGTAGTATTTGATGATGGATCAATTTCGTATGTTAATGAAAAGAAAAATGGTAAATTTTAATGCCATAGGCTTGTAGTCCGTTCTCCTGTTACACCCTACTTTTTTCCAGACGGTAAAAATAATCAACCAGTATTATATATATATATATATATATATATATATATATATATATATATATATATATATATATATATATTTAATTCGTAATACCAAAATAACTTAAAATAACCACTTTAATATTTGTTGTCTGTCTGCCTGTCCGTTCAAAAAACACAGTCATGCCAGGAGCGCTCTCATTTATTTACATTTTATCTGAAAAGCTTGGAGGTTATTTTTTTGTAAAATGGTAAAAATGATCAAATAAATACATAGATGATTGAAAATAATAAATTGATGATTAAAAATTCTAGATGATGCCACATTAAAATAATAGTCTTTAATCATGTGTTAATAGACCCCACACAGGTGATGCATGTATAATAATATTATTTCAAATGTCATTTTTGACAATATTTCAGTGGCTGGAACATCTGCAAATGCGATAATTTTCAAACATCATTGTGCCACACACATCATGCCTTATTAACAATCACATATTAACAATTTGTGATTAAATCAAATAAACATTCTTTACCATTAGTTACTAATTGCGCTTACAGATCATCAAGCAATTTTACTGACATTGCAATTAACATTACCTAGAAAAAACTGCATGCACAGTTACGCTAAAGTCCGTATGACGAACCTTGAAAATGACATTCGTAGCATTAATTTTGACTTTGTTTATCGCTCTGACGATGCAATACGTCCTTGAGTTACTTTATAAATTCTTTACAATATTATATCATACTGTGTATATATATATATATATATATATATATATATATATATATATATATATATATCTTAGGGGTAGCCCCTCGATTTTCAGTTTTGACTAATCAGTTTTAAATGACAGTGAAAACTAATGTCCTTTGCGTCCACACACGTTCACTTTTAACTGTTCTCTTAGACCACAAATAACATTTTCATCTCAAGATATTATCAGCCGACGACGACGCTCTAGCCTTGCTTAATTTATTATAAATATTTAAAAAATAAGAATAAAAAAATTTATTCTGCCATAAGCAAGGTTTATTTACGTGGTAGAGTCATGCTGCAGTTATATAGTATAGCTGTAACACGAATGGGTCGGTTCGACCGGGGAAGGACCACGTTCTCACAGAATACCAGCGTAAAATAATAGCTTAATGCTGCTGTGTATGGTGAGTGTAGAGAACAGAAGATCCTTTTTACTGGAAACGAGGCATTCCGTCTTAGTCCTCACGGATGACAACGCGTCTGCATTTTGATTTGTAATCGAGGATAGACGTAGATCAGTTTTGACTAACGAGTTTTAGCTGACAGTGAAAACGGAGTGTGTACGAAGAAAACTGTCAGTTTTTTTAATTATCAGTTAAAACTGATGATATATTGTTGATACCTATTTTTAGCTGAAATGACGGAACTGATCAGTTAAAACTGTGCGTGTGTAGGCGGTGGTTCTTCAGTCGTGTTGCGATCTTTGTTCGTGTTTGTCTTCTTCGCGTAAGCAGAAAAATGAGGCAAAGACAGTGGTTGGCCGAGTTTATAGAGTTATAAGGAAATGAACCTTTTTTTCTTTTTTTATAGGATTGTCACCACAAACGACTGTGTGCTCGTTCACTTGATGGTAAGTGTATTCTGTACAAGTTACAAGGTATTAGATGAGAGGAATGCCTCGTTTCCAGTAAAAAAGGGTCTCAGGTTCTCTACACTCACCATACGAAACACAGCAGCATTAAGCTGCAATAGCATGAAATAAATTTTTACATTTGTGCTTCAATCGTAATATATATATATACATATATATATATATATTATTATATATATATATATATATATATATATATATATATGTCAAATATAACACGATAACCAATTGTATGGGAAATAACAGGAAGCGTTAATTATTAAAAATGGTTAATTTTTCTCTTCTTGCCACCCAATTACTAGTTTTGAAACAAAGATATAAAAAAAATAAAAGACAAGCAAAACGACATATATATATATATATATATATATATATATATATATATATATATATATACATATATATATATATAATAGCTGCAGCATGGCAGTTATTAAGAATACTCATTGGTAGCGTTAATGAATTTATAAGGTTTTTATAATGAACATGTCTATATATGTGCATTATAACGGCGTCATTCAGGCATTAAAATTCGTTAAGGGGATATAGTAAGTCAGCTCAAATTCTAATTTCGTCCCCACTTCCCCGCGCGTCGTATGCTATGTACCGACATGTTTGTAATCACTAATGCTGTAAGTAGATAGCTCGTTAGATACTTATTTCATTAGGTTTATCATATTTATGCCTGTTTCTTAACGCCAACCCAGACGCTTCTTATTTTTATCACGGTTATTTCCCATTTTAATTTTACGTCGTCCTGTTGCGTAATGTGTATTCTGATCGTAAGCGACACAACTTCTCCCTTCAAAAGCCTAAGCGATACTAACGAGCGGGTAACGGGGCGACAGCAATCAAGCTTTAAGACGCCGATAATTTAGGTAATTTCTTTTTACAATGAAAATAATGGCATTTAAAAAAAAGTAAATAACATAAGCACTGCTTTATAGTTAGTTCAGTTAGTATGCAAAGTTTCATGATCTTATATAAAGTATTTTATGAATAACAGCGGTTTATTGTTCAGTTTGGAGGTAACTTTGGATTTTTTTTCTATCGAGAAAATTTCACGGAATCGTGTTTTCGTCTAACATAGTCCTTAACATTAATCCTCAACTTTACCATATATTTATTTCAAAATTAATGCTGCAATACTTTCGGCATAACGGAGGATCTTGCTAAGCCATTTGAGGTTATATTTCCCCTTAACGTATTTTTCCAAAGACTATATACCAGCGTAAAATAGCAGATCAATACTGCTGTGTTTCGTATAATGCTCTCATTTCTAATATACGAACGCAATAACACATTCTTATTAGTGCCATGGCACGTCGATGGAAAAAACCGTACATAAATAAGTGATTAGTTTCTAAATCCACACGTCGAACTGCGAACTATAAAACTGTCAAACAGGTTACACATGATAGCAGATACAGCGAGTTATGGGTTTTAATAGCTTGTGAGTTTATTCTAAAAATTCGAGTATACCATTACCATATAAAGAAACGTAAAAACACAGCTATACTTATACATTTTAGAAACCGTAACTTTCTTTACGTGGTAAAAACACGCTGCAGCTATATTATGATAGCAGCATGAATGGGTTGGCTCGACCAGAGTGGGACCTCAGAATATCAGCGTAAAATAGCAGCCCTTTTTACTTTTACCGACCATTTTTACTGGAAACGACGCATTTCATCTTAGTCCTCAGGGGCGACACGAATCTGCAATTTGATTATTTATCAAGAATAGATATAGATGGCTATGAGAAACAGCATCTACTTACCATTAGTTGAGATTGCGTGCTCGTTTGTCATCTTTATTCCATTAAAAAGATTAACTAGATTAGTATAGATTTTTTACTATTAGGTATAGATTGACTCAATAACAACATAAGGACAAAATCAAACACTTTCTTCATAATGTAAGGATAGATTAACTATA